GATCTAATTGATGGCCTACAGGGTACAATTAGAACAGAATATAGGTAGCATGAAGTCAAGCAATGGCAAAAATCCTAGGATGGCAACAAAGAACACCTGTTTTTTTAATTTTTTAAAGAGAAACAGATAAAGGGGTTGCCATTACCCTTAAACTTTACCCTCACACCACCAAAACATGGTGGGATTGATGGCATGGTTGGGAACAGGAGGAGACTGTTTATGGCCATGCATGAATGGTCAACCTGCAGACAGCACTGGACACTCTAGGACTGCATGTTATCCCTTTTGTGAGACATAACCATAATGCCTAAAAGGTTGACCAGCCCCTACATCTTCCATCTCTTAACCTTCAGGGACCAAGTTACTGACCTCATTGTTAATTGTAGTTTGGCCCACCACAATTACAGTGGGGCCATGAACAGAAGGGCTATAGACTACATCTTGCAGATGGGTGACATGGCCCAAGAATCCATCTGCAAATAAAACCTCAGGGTTGAGATAGTACTATTCTTGGAGGTGGAAGATGGCCACCTAGACTTGAGGCTAGGAATGTTCTTCAAAGTTCATGGTCTGAGGGGACTGATTGTGGTCCTTCTTACTACTGATCCGGGGTCAATTACATCTTGTTCCACTGTCAACAGCACATGGCAGTGGAACTGAAGACTCTTGGGATGAGACACAAGGACAAAGGGGGATATGATGCCACATGGAAGGCTTTTCAGCTTGAACTGGCCTTGCAAGAGGCAGCCCACTGTCCAACCTTGATGTCCTGTATGCAGCTGCTTTGGGAACCAGCTCACTCCATGAGTTCAGCCACACCCACAACAGAGGGTTCATGGGACTGAGCCATTCAATGCAGCTGCAGTGAAGAATGGCCCAGCCCAATTAAACTGCTGGACTAGAGATCCACTGCAATGAGTCCTGGTATTTTGTTGGGCTTTTGTTTTGGTTATGTTTGGATTGTCAGTTTTCAGCTTGCTCCTTTTTTGGGTTAGTGTTTTGTCATACTTTAATGCAGGTTTTTTTCTCTTGTTTAAATTTAATATACATTTGTAAAATTTGTCGTAAGTAGGTGCGTCTCCTTTTTTTTGTCATGTCTAACAGAGCCTGGTTGCGACAAGAGTGTATGTTAAAAATTGGCAAGGCTCTGCTGGCATAGTTAAGTGTTTACAAAAACCTTTAGTGATCATTTCAAAATTAAAATATGTTAATGGGTTAGGGTATCTACTTTTTTAAATAAAAATAGGATAGGGTTGGGAAAGCTAGCTTTAATTTTTCATTTTTATTTCCCAAGTTGAGAAAAGTAGGCTTCGGTTGCATTTGATACTGCAACCGAAGCCTACTTCGGTTGCAGTATCAACCGATACTGTCCAAACAGTAATTTTACTGTCCAAATTACTGTTTGGACAGTAAAAATGTCCAAACAGTAATTTGTTCTCACATCTAAATACAGGTCTCATTTTTTTAGTTAAAATTGTAGAGAAAACAATTTGAATAATTGGTTCTCACTGTGCTGACTAAAATCCTTTCAGAAATTTATTCTGCAAAATTGGAAGTAGTATTTAGTGTGTGGGTGACTCCTAGCGTCCAAACTGTATTATTGTTCTTTTTAATGTTTCAGAGGTTTTTGGTTCTCACTCTGCTGGTATTCACCATGCAGTGGATGGAGGAATGTATGTTTAATCTTTATAGACACAGGTAAGTGTTCTTTTTATCACACCTGAGAAACATTCATGAGATATATATATATAAACATTGTTTTTTGCTCTGCTGTGCACAGTTTGGACGACTGCAGACCACTTAATGCAAACTTTGGTACGGAATTCTTTTTTTTATGCTGCAATAAATACTCATGTGAGCCAGATCAGTAATCCTGATTAAATCATGTATTAAAAGTTTTTTCAGACATGATGCACAAAGTTGTTTGAAGAACATGAAAGTTTTGTAACATTTTGTTCCATTCTGTTAGTCCCATGTTTCATCACTTATTAATTTAACAATAACCATCTTCCACTAGGGGGCAGCAGAATGGAGGAAACCACTGAGCTATGAAAACATGATCAGCATCTTAAACAGCATTCCACCGTTTTCCATCTAAATTACAGCTAATGGTGTCTGCATGTTGCAATAGACTTAGTAAAACCGGGAGAAGGGGAGGGGGATCAATATTTGCCGTGAATATAGCTGATAAAGCCTCCAAGTAGTTGTGAAGCGTTTTGCGCTTACGTCACTATGACTTCACCACGATTAGTCGACGTCGACTCGACTATTATCATGATGTAGTCGACCTTAAAAAATATGAAGTCGTTCAACCCCTTGTATCAAGTTAACCCATTTAATCCCAAATTTTTCCCAGACATGCAAATATTAAAATCAGATGTAATTGATAATCCTTTGAACTAATTAAGGGGAAATAATTAGGAACATTGTGGAAATATATATGAAAAAGTGTTTTATGATCCGTCATAATTGTGACAAGTGGGATAATATGGTGTTCTTACTAAGATGAGCTAAAAGTGCTTTTTCCAAATAGAAAAGATAATAAAAGGTGAACATTGTTTCTTTATTTGAATATACATTGCCACTGCATTACTTTAGTGCAACATTTGCTCTGTAAAGTACAAATTTGACTATTGATATATTATAAACCAAAGTAAATTTGAGTGCTTGAGTGTTTATGCATCATTTTATTGAACTTCAGTCAGTTGTAGTGTTCTGTTATCACATTAGCATAACTCATAAACATAACCTCTATAGTAGAGGCCTTCATGTATATTATTGAAAATCATGAACATTTGCCAGTCACACCGTCATACTGTAATAAACTTAGTCATGCATCTTTTCCATCCATCTTTTCCATCCACCTCTGATTCAATACACATGAATCAGGTGATTAGCAGGACTCTGGAGAACTGAACTGCATACTGAGATGATCCATTTAATTCAGGTGTGCTGGACCAGAGACATACCTGAAAGTTACAGGATACCGGACCCCAAGGCCTGGAATCAAAGGCCAGTCGTATGGCTCCTTCTCACCATTTGTTGACTTCAGTATTCTTCAATTTTGGGTTATTTCATCCCCTCCTTACTTTCCATGATGTTTCTTGAAGCACTTAATGTACAACAAAGCCTTGAATTTCTCCCAGGCATGGTGGTGCAAAAGCCACATCTCTGGAAACAATTCTTATATTGATTGACCAGTAAGTGTCTTGAAGAGAAGTGTCCATTTGAGATCTATTTCCATGACCTAGTGACCTTATGCCAAACCTTTCACATAAGGTGGTTTATCTTTGAATAAGATAATATGCCACAACCAATGAGAATATTTGAAAGGTAAATGGCCTGTACTTGTATTGTTCATTATCAAGTACAAATGACCTGAAAGTGCTTTACACCACATTTAGTCATTCACCCATTGACACACACATTCACACACATAGTAGCAGTAAGCTACTATATTGCAGCTACATCTTCCCTGGGACAGCTTGACAGAAACAAGGCAGTGATACACTGGCACCACTGGGTCCTCTGACTACCACCGGCAGGCATGGCGGGTGAATTGTCCTCTTGATAAAGGTCACAACGACTGAGAGAGACAAAGTGGGGATTCCAACAGGCAAACCATCAGTTACTCCAAACTCCAACCTCCTAAGCTACAGTCAGCCTATTTACAAGTGCGCTTTTGAGATGGGCCACCACCACTTGTTGGACCTGTTCATGACTCTGTAGCTTGAGGTGTTTTGGTCAAGAAGGTCTATACCTCTCATGTGCTCATTGATCTATTTGACATCAGTATAGTTACTGATCTTATAGTTCTTTCTCATCTTTGTTTCTACTGTGAAAATATTGTTCTCTTTCCAGCAGTTTCTCATCTTGTGTCAGAATCTCATTTGGATCCTCTTTAGTTTTAAAGGGTACATCAAAGAGACAGTTGTCCCTTCATACTAAATTTTGGAGGTGGTAACAGAGTGCCACATGATTCGTGAAAGGGGAGATCATCCTCTTTTCACATTAATTGATCATATGCATTCAAAATCAGGCCTAGAAAATGGCCTCTTTCCCTTATAGTCCATGTCTAAGCCACCACTACCAAAATCAGTAAGGATTCCATCTTTCTCATAACTACATTGTTGTATGCTTTGTCTGGCTATCACTAAGTCCAAGAACCACATTCAAAATTAATCTTAAAAAGGAAGAAATTACGAATTGGAAGAATATGGTATATATTTAAATAAGCTCACCTATGTAAAACGTATTTTCCCACTGGTCACTATTGTGACCGTCAACATGTTTACACATCCTGCTCACAAACCAAACCAATTTTTGTAAATGCAAAGGTGCATATCATAACTAGACACTTTAAAGATGATGTGCACCAAAAATCTTTGTCGTACGTTTATTTAAACATACATTACTAGCCTCTTCTTTGGGAGGTTTGTGACAGTATTCCTATCGGTAAGGAGCAACCAAGATATAAACAGCTCTAGTCATGTCATAATTTACTCTAAAGTCCCTGAAAGGGAAAAAATGTCTTGGTCACTATTGTGACCGGTGGGTTTAAGAGTTTAATCTTCATTGTTTTTGTTTAATAAGAATCTGTAAGATTCATCATGCAAATAAATTCCGTAATTTTTTTTTATTGGTTTAATCCCTGAAAAATTCAATTCCAGTAGACAAGGGGTCTGAAGGAGTCTAGATTCAATGATTAATAAATTTCTGACTGGGATTTTGTGTGTGTGTAGGTGCGTGCGCACGCGTGTGTGTGTATTTTTGATATGTGATCACAGCCAAAACTACTCAGGAAATTTTAGGCTAAGATGAGAGGGCTCTAGAAGAACTCAGAATGTTAGTTAAAATATAGTTCTAGGCCCGTATTTACAGTTTTAAAGTTCCACACAGAAAATTAAACTGCTCCACTCCTTGCAAAACACAGATCAGATAAAATTAGATCCTGCTTACACAATTTTTCTAAGATAAAGGTTAATAATTGAAATGTCTACTAAAATAAATGCTCATTTATTTTGTAGAAATACATTTATTCTTAAAAAAAAGTGAACTCCAGGTTTTAGTTATGATCCTTTATCCATTGTTCAGTCCACTGAATTAGTTGATGGAGGTTTTTCTCAAGGTCCTCAGGGGTGTTACTTGGTAACTGGTGGACAATCTCCTCAGAGTAGGCTTCCATGGCTTCCTCGTAAATAGTTTGGAAGATCTCACACTGCACATTGTCCTGTAGTTTCTTTCCAGTATAACCCCTGTAAGCAAATAAAAAGACCAGAACATATCTAGTTTTAGAGGGTATATTTGGCATCTATTGTAAATCTTCAATAGATGCCCAACACATCAGACACATCAGAACATCAACATTATCAGTCAATATGTCTATGAGAATGCAGTTTCATAAGGTGATATAGAAGCATCCAGAGAGTGGTGCAGAAAATACTTTCAACAATAGGTAAAGGTAATTTTATCTATATAGCACATTTTCAGCAACAAGGCAGCTCAAAGTGCTTTAGGTGAATTAGGAGAAAATACAAACAAATAACAAACCTAAAAGAAAGACAAAAGGGAAACAAATAAAAGTACTCCACAATTTATAAACTAATAGTTTCTCTGTCTCCATGTTTGATTCTTGTTCTGGATTGCTATTAAGTATTAGTAAGTTGGATGCGATCTTTCCTGACCTGCAAATCTCAGCAAGAATCGCATCCAAGTTGCGGCTCTGGTCCCACAGCACGTGGCCCAATCCAGCTAATTTGCTCAATCCATAACTGATCAAGGCAGCTTGACAAGGGCCACAACAGCTACCGACATCTTCCAAATTTGTCGACAAGGTATCCCACCAACTCCAAACACCAGAAATCTTGTTATGAATCTAAATAAATATAGATCCTCTATGTCTTCCAGGTATAATGTGAACAGACAAGAATTTTTGTAAACATCCCAAGAGTAGGATGTATCCTGCTGGATATGTCCTCGCAGACCACTTTGCTCAGCCGTCTTGTTGAGAAAATTTGATCAATTGCATTGAGAGGCCAGTTGACCAGATCCATAATTTGTAAATTCTGAGGATGTGGAAACAGAGGCTCTAAAGAGCAGTACAGAAACAGAGCAAGCAGGGCAAAGATGGGTATGGTGGGAGCAGAGGAAAAAACCCCAATAATAACCTTTAACCTTTTGAGAGGACATTGCAAGTACCTCAGTGAGAAGTCGCATGGAAATTTCAGACTGTGTCAAGCATCCCTGAATACACACATGCTAGTCAGTTTCCTGTCCCTTCCATCACCTTTCTGGGATATGTTTTCAAGAACGGGCACGTGAAGACCGATCCAGAACAAATTCGATCTATTCGTAACTGGCCAATCCCTTAATCTCGCAAAAAACTTCAGCGCTTTTTGGGCTCCGCCAATTTCTACCACTGTTTCATTAAGAACTTCAGTCAGATTGTGTCCCCCGTCACCCAACTGACCTCTCCCAAGAGACAGTTCATTTGGTCCCCCCAAGCAGAACAGGCATTTTAACTTCTCAAAAGCAGATTCTCTGAGGCCCCCATTCTCACTCAACCTGACGCCTCGACCCAGTTTATAACGGAAGTTGATGCTTCCGATTCTGGTTTGGGTCCTGTGCTTTCTCAGACCTCTTCCAGTGAGTGAGAAGAAACTTCACCCATGTGCCTTCTTCTCCAGACTACTCTCCTCCTTGGAGAAAAACTACGATGTCAGAGATAAGGAACTGCTATAATTCAAGTCGACCTTTGAAGAGTGGCAACACTGGCTAGACAGAGTTGAACATCTAGTGGAAGTCTGGATAAAATCATAAGAATATAGCATTTCTGCAACAAGCCAAACATCTCAATCCACATCAGTCCAGAGGGTCCCCTTTCTTCTCACCATTTAATTTTGTCATTTCTTAGAGCCCAGGCTCCAAATGTACCAGTGCAAACCTGACGTACTGTCTTGCCAGTTTTCCTGAGATGATCGCACTGTCAGTAGAATTGTTCCTTCCATGTGTTTTGGTGGGGTCCTCCCCTGGGAGATCATGGACCAGGTTTAGCCGCCCAACAACAAGAAAAGAGAGAGGATGAACAAAGAACTTCAATCTACATTATGTTGTCCGTGTGCTTCTAACCCGTCATACTGGAGTTCATATTTCATGTGGGTAGAATATGTGCACAATGCTCACATCTCCTGAGCCATAGGCTTCTCTTCTTTTGACATTTCTTTGGGGTATTAGCCACGATAGCTTCCCTGCTGATGAAAAAGTGTTGTCTGTCACCTCTGTTCATCATTGCATTTGGAATGACACAAGGCACACCTGGAAGAACGTCTCTGCTGCCCTGGACTGTATTTCTGTTCAGAATCACTCTCTGGCTGACTGCAAAAGGGTTCTTGCACTTGTGTATCAATTTGGACAAAAGGTTTGGCTCTCATCGGACATTAAACTAAAGCCGTCTTCTAGCAAGTTTTCTCTTAGGTTTATTGGTCCCTTTGAAATTCAATCTGTTCTCAGCCCCGTCTCTGTTCACCTTAAATCTTAAACACCATATCCATATTGCATGCAATATGAAGATTGCAAATTAACCAGTGTAATCCAATGTGGTATAGATTTTGTTTATTGGTTACTTAACATCTAGCTACATGTATTGTTTTTTACTATGTACCGCATTAAACATTTTGTGAAATTGAGATCTCTTGTAACTATATCAAATACTTACAAGACAATGAAGATGCATGTGCTAACTTATTTAGCAGCAGATGTATGAGGCCATGCAACACCCTAAATTTGTGATAAGCCCCGCTTAACATAAAGATTCAAAGAGCAGCCCTCACAAAGAGGATGGCCAAATAATTTGAGATGTTGGGGCGTTCAGACTGAGAACCAACTGCCTGAATGGTTTCAGTTTGACAGTACAGACTGACTAATGCTGTCTACTAATCCAAATTGCCCACACTGGCATCTGACTATCACACTAAAGAATAAGAACTACCCGGACAAAGCAAGCTATGGTACCAAAGCTATCTAATTGACAGCTGACTGCATTCGTTGATTGGCTTGTGATTTACGACACTGAAAACTCCAAACAACATTGGAACATGCTGAGGACGGAAGAGCATAATTATGAGTTTAATCAGGAGCAGCGCCAGGAACGCATGCATTGAGTTTTCCAGAGAATGTCTGTATCTTAGCAGGACATTCCACTGCTGCTAGCAGCACATCGATTTGAAGAATGAACAGCAATAAAAGAAGAGAGAAATTGTGCAACTGTGGCCAGCTTTCTGATGGAGTTGCAGTTTTGCGCCGACAGTGTAAAACACCGGAACTACTTCATATTAGCTTGTGATGTGAATTTTATTTTTCCTTTGGATTTAAAAAATATATATAGTTCATGGGTGGCTATGTGACTACATCCTTACCTGAACCCAAAAAGTGGCACAGTGTATTTATATTTATATGTATAGCAAAACAATCAGCGAATCTGAGTCTTTATGTTTGGGACAGCAATGAATTTCTACAAGACATAATTAAATATCTGGGTTTATTTTAGTCCATCAGAACCTTGAGGTTCTCCATTGTTGAGTGCTTCTGCAAACATCAGAGAGTTGACCACAGCTGCTGCTCACAGCCTGTCCACAATACTGAGGAACAAAGAGCATAATAGAAAAGCTCACTACCTGGGGTAGAACCAAACTGCACATTAACTGACTAGCGTACCACCTGCCAGTGGAAAAGCACCTTAATAGGAGCTGTGTTGGCACTGGAAATTTGCATTAAAATAAAATAACCAAGGAAAAAAGCATCCAAAACATGCTTAAAAACAAAACAAAACTGACATGCATGTCTGAATCTTCAAAAGTTTTACAATTTTAAAAGGGGGGAAAAAAACTTTACCTGTCTTCAAGTCGGGTGTACAACTGGGTGTTGTCCGTGCGAAGTACAAAAACAATGTGGAACCATCGTTCAGGAAACAGGTCACAGCCATGATAATCTATGATTACACCACCTTCCACCATCTTTTGATCCAGTTCATCCACCACCTGTGGAATCCAGGAATCCAGATAATATTCATTAGCACCTATTCATCAAAGGGACCAGTGTGGTGAATTTGGATTAGTAGACAGCATTAGTCAGTCTGTACTGTCAAACTGAAACCATTCAGGCCGTTGGTTCTCAGTCTGAAGGCTCCATCATCTCAAATTATGTGGTTATCCTGGATGTGAGGACTGCTGTTTGAATCTTTATGTCTTCAGCGTGGCTTATCACAATTTACTTGCATGAAGCAAAGCTCTAACTGAAAGACATCATTTCAAAAAGTGGAAATACAGCGATTTGGATTTTAGGTAAATTAGGCGTAAAGTTCGAGGACATGCTCATCTCAGCTTCCTGGTGGCATTCAGTATGTTACCTGAAGCGGTCTCTCTCTCTCT